CCAGAAGAGCTGGACTCGGACTCGTCCTCTGACGAGTCCGAAGAGGACGACTCCTCCCCTCTCCCAGAGGGGCCCGCCTCCTCTCCCTTAGAAGGAGCAGGAGGAAAATTAGACATGTCAACGGTAAGATGGGAAGGGACCACCTTGGCCCCTCTCTCAGAACTGTCGGCTTGGCAGCCGCCTCGTTTCAATTCTACATCTGGCGCCTGGTCAGATGTTTCACTAATGAGCACCCTTTGGGAGGAGCCGTCTGAGTTTGATATCATAGCAGTCTTTTTTGTTCTGGCCATCACGTTCTGCATAGACACAGATACAGTCGGACTTTGTATAAAGGGCAAAGATGGGTCCAGAAAAGGGCAGGCGGCACTCCTAGTCCTAGATTCAGCCGTCCCCGGTGACCGGCTGATCACTAACTTAGGTCGTGTCGTGTGCTTCCGTTGTGCCATTTCAAAAAATAAAAAGAAAATTAAGAGTAAGAGAACTGAGTTACCTGAACGAGTGACGGTTGATGAAGTTCTGGAAATCCGGTACAGTCGGCTTGTCAGAACAGGCGGTAGGCAGAAAAGGTCCGAAATGTCAGAGCAAGTTCAGGGGTCCGAATGTTCTCGCAAAGTTCTCAAATGTGAAAATGACCGAAGTCAGCACTTCCTTATATAGGCAAAGTGAGAAGGCGAAGGGTCGCTTCCAAATTCAAAATTTGGGCGGGAAAATCTCTCGGCCGTTTGCAAGGTGACACCTGTAGCAGGCCGTCGCCTGTCACCGTGCGACACCTGTCACAGGCGACACGTGACCAGTCACGTGCCACCTGTGAGGGGCAAATGATTAGGGGATTTTTATCCACCAATCACCGTCTGACAAGTGGACCAACCAGGTTCCGCCACGTGTCCTTCACGAAGGCCAATAGGAGCCTGCCACGTGTCAATCACGGATACGTCCTCTACGGACCAATCGAGGCACGCCACGTGTCCACCCATGCCAAATGGGAAAACCGGCCAACAAGCCCAATCCTGTCTAGAGGCCCGGTCAGCCCTAGGTTTACCCTAAACCTAGGGAGTGGCACGCTTCTCAAGGCTATAAATACTTAATTAATCCTCATTAATTAAGCAATCAAGAAATCAAGAGAACAGAGAAGAACAAAAACATTACGGAACACTAATAACCGGCTAATCTCGCTAACAAAGCAGATTACCAACATTAAACACTCTCACCTAGAGAGGTCTTATTACTTTAATTTCCGTATTAATTACTCCTTAATCAGGTACTAACTTGACCGTTGGAGGCGGAGCTCTCAGGAGTCTCCGTTATTTTGCAGGTACAGGCGTCCGGTTCCAGTCTCGGAATTGTAACTCTCCCGCAGGACATCAGAAAACCCCGAAACACCTCCCATCACCCTTTTTTAGATTATTCCACAATTCTCATCAAAATCTCAATGAAGTAGGGTTTTCTACAATACTTGAGATGAAATAAATTGGGTTATGAAATTCGGACTACACTAACCCAATAGAAATCATAGAGTGAATTCATAAAATCAATAAAATGATTGATAGTTATAATGAAATTACTATACGAGCACAAACATGAGATTTTATTTAGTTACATTTAAATTCATTATATACATCATCTAATTCATCGTCTATTATATGTTACAAAACGGGATTTCCCTACATCACAAGGAATCAAAAATCAACATTAAGGTATGATAATAGTTGTCTAATACGGAATACTGATTACTGACTAGGGTATGTGACTTTTCTCATCTAAGGATCTAAAGAAATTTTAATTTTTAGAATTGGAATTTCTTCTTGAATATTTAGATTAACCGAAAGCAATAGAATATGTTACTGGCAGAAAAGAACTTTCCAATATGGAACTCTGGAAGTAACTACATTGTGCCCAAAATCCAATCCCCAAAGTAAAGCAATACAAATGGACCATGGCCGTGGACCAAGAGCGCAGCTATTGCCACTAGAATGCATTTTACATAAATACCCCTTAACTTTGTTTGAGGAATTTCAAGGATTAATTAGTTTGCTTCCCCTAACTCAAAAATTAGAACCACCATCTTGTATGACTTGTATTTGGTGCATAATGGAAATTATTCTTGCTACAGCTCGAAGTCCAATTCTCTATTTTGATAGGCCTAAAACTAATACCTCGTCTAATGGTAAGGGTCGCATCATACAACCTAAAATTTGTGAGATCAATCTTCATTAAGGGCACTTTGAAGGTTAAGTTTTTTATTATTTTTTTCTACCCTTTTCCCCTGAATTTCATGGAGACTTGTTTACTAGTCCATACCAGGTTGATTTCTGCAAGATTTCGATCTAATACACCATTTTTTGATTTAGTGTTTAGAGAGCCACAAGGAAGGATGATGAGAATCGATATCAAGATCTCTTAAAATCGGAAGGAGGGTTCCCTTACTCTCATTCTCCGCCATCTTTCTTTGCCTACCAGTATTCCATCTTCTAGGGATAGAAGTGTGATTTGGTCATGCCTTTTCACACATCTTCTCGGGATTGTGGCATCTCATGACTCAAACAGTCAATTGTTATAACCTTAAAAGTACTTGCTAAAAAATATACCAAGTACTAAACAAAAAAAATTACACAATAGGATAATGGTGACTTGTGAAACACTAAAAGCATTAAATTCCTCATTTTAGTCGGCTAGTAAAGAGGTAGAAAAAGGCAGTTAGAAGCATGGAAACAGAGAGAAAGACGGCATCTACCACATACTAATACTATCAAAGGTGAATCCAATTCCTTCCCATTGAAAAAAAAAAACTCTCCACATTGCTCTTTCCTTACTTCACTTGCCTCACACTTTCCAATACAAAAACCACCCTCACACTAATCAACCAACACTTCCCATTCACACCTTCATTTCTTAACCATGAACCTAAACCACCTCCCTCTATTCCTCCTCCTCCTCCTCGTCCCCCTCGTCCACTCCCAAGTATGCCAACGCTTCTGCGGTGACATCCCCCTACGTTACCCCTTCGGGGGTGGTCCGGGGTGTGGTGACCCTAGGTTCACTAAACATGTTACATGCAACCAAAGACAACTTTCCTTCATCACCCACACTGGCTCATACCCGGTCACCAACATCGACTATAACAAACAGGTACTCTATGTCTCTGACCCAACTATGTCCACCTGTTTCTGTACTCAGCCTAGCAAAGGGTTCAGCCTTGATTGGGATGCCCCATTCTCTTTTGACGACAGCAGTGTCTTCGCACTACTGGACTGCTCACTGGATTCATCCCCTATATATAAAGGCGCTATCAATGGAAACACTTCGAATGTCCCTCAGTGTGATAATGCAGGTACAGTAATATATCAGTTCAAAGTGTTCTAGCTTTCCATTATAATACTTGTACAAAATTATTACTCTAAACATATTTCATCACTGCGAGTAGGTACCCCTCTCTGCAGCTCGCTCTACTCCTGCCAGCCTATCAGTCAGCTGAACGTCCCGATCAACACATGCTGCGTGTACGCACCTGTGGATCTGGGGCCTGCCTTCGAGATGAACCTACAGAAGGCACAGTGTAAGGCATACACCGCGATTTACAGCTTTGAAGATCAGGAAGCGAATCCAGAAGTATGGAAGTACGGGGTAGCATTGAAGTACAAGTTCAACGTGAAGAACGACTACCCGGTCTATTGTAGCAACTGTGAGAAGAGTAACGGGGCTTGTGCTTACACCGGAATTTACAACACTTTTGTGTGTAATTGTCCAAGTGGAGTGAACACTTCTACTGATTGTTACTTTCAAAATTCTTGGAATTCTGGGCTAAGGAATGCTCCTTGGATCAAAGGTAATCATTTTTCATAAAGATTTCTCTTGATGCAAGTAAAACACATGCTTCCTATTCTTTTTATTTCTTTTTGTCTAATTATATAGTTAGTGTATAATAATTAGGATTTGACTTTTTCTAAATTGTCATCTTTGGCTGCTTTTACAGGAACCTTGATCTTCTATTCTGTTTTGCTTCTCCTGCTAGCGATTTCGCTGTAAAATACAAGATCACAGCAAAATGACAGACAAAAGAACCAGATCAAACACCAGTGTTCTCTTCCCTTTCTTTTTGTACTCTTTAACTTCTTTAGATTTTGCAATGTTTTTGTTTGTTTTTGTTTTATTAAGACAGGTAATTGTAATATATGAAAATGCAAATAAATATAACAGTTTCTCCAATGTGTTGTTCTCTGTGTATATATGTCACTAACTGTTGACTCCTCCATGTTCATTCATTAATTATCTATCGTTCAATATTGGGATTTTAATCTACTGACACCAGATGGGATGCAGAACATGTCTCATTTATGATTTGATGGACGGACTGACAATGTGCAAGAACTAGCATATTACGTTATTTAAACAGACACATTGGGGTGAAAAAAATAAAATAAAATTGAGCCCCTCCTCCGAGGCCTTGACACGAACCTGCCCGGATCTGATCTGAATCCCACAGACCTTGCTAAATGTTAATCGATATTTGATATGGACTTGGCTAAAACACTTATATAAAACCAGCCTGAGTAGCTAAAAAAAATAAAAAAAACAGATTAGGATTCGACTAAACAATTCCGTTTGACACGTCCAGAAGCAACAGGCATCAAAAGGGGCCAGCACTAGCATATATTAATCAGACAGATTGGACATGAAAAAGAAGAGTCAAGAAAAGAGAGAATTATTAGAGGATAGACAGGGATAATGATCACGATAATCAGCTTACAATAAATGGAGAAAAACACAGTTGGAAAGTACAAGTTTGGAGGTTTAGTGGATTTTCTAGAAAATTATTTCATCAAGAATATGATTCCTTCTTTAAAGCCACTAGATTAGAAAGAATCACTTTTCTCACACAAGAATCTTTGCTTTTTATCTCCCACTTCAACGGGATCAGAGCTCCTAGACAGAGGTAAAAGAAAGCTTTTCCTAAACTAATGATTCAGAAACAGCAGAATGATTAACATAAGAGTTCTATTCTATTGACTATATATAAAACGCTTTATCATGCACATTTTTATGAGGGTGTAGGGCATAACTACCCTGAAAACATGCAGAATTCGAGGAAGAAAAAGGCGAGTCTAGGGTATCATCTCATAGTCTGAGTTTAATCTTATGTTGTTGCAATAAAATATGCATTGCTAAAACTTCTGATTGAATGCACATGAAGTACCAGCTTCAAAAACAGGATAAATTGGAGAATATTCGTACCTTGAACTGGCAAGATGAGAGCTCCAGTCTTTAATTCACAGCGTCAAATATGCTTAAAATGTACGTGTGCCTTCGTTCTTTACCTATATCATCAGCAAATATTATGATAGCAAAGCTGTATACTCTTACTGTAGGCAAAAAATTGAACTTGTGAATGCGTAAACTTATTGTATATCATTCACCAGGATGAATTTGTATGAAGAAAATCATGTATAATTTCTCAAATTTAGAGTAATTTATATGAAGTTCCCAATAAAAAAGGAAAATTCCTTGTATACATTGTAGGCTCAGTGCTACGTGCCAGGCCACCTTTCATCATGTTCATGATGATTACACAAGTATAAGCTATCTACAATTCAAAACCTCTCTGTGTCACTTTTCCTAATAGCTAAATCCTCCAAATCATAAGAGAGGATAAAAATTGTCAAACTGGTCTAGCTAGTATAAATGTTACAGGTTGCAGCATATGGGTTTTCCTTCACTTTGTAGTCTTTCCCACAAACAGATCAGTTGTTTAGGAGATTGATAGTGTGCAGTATAATAATCATCGAAGCAGCCGGACTGGTGGAAATGCGAGTTGTGCAGATACTCCACAGGTCTTGAACTGTTGAACTTCTCTACCCACATCCCCATGCTCACATCTTCCATCTTGAACAACTACAATGCAACATGCAAAATTACTGATTTTATTCAAAAAATTGTCTAATACTGGTTAGAGACTTAGAGACATGGATAGGATATTTGACATACTCTCAATCTGTCCTTTCGATACTCTGTCACAATAAAACGGGCAATGTCTGAAGACACAATATATCCAGGTCCATCAGCATATGGTGGATAAATTTCGCCAGGCCATTCCTGAAACATTACACAAGAAAGAAGTTTTAGAAACACAGCAGTGAAAAAACTGGTCTATGCAACTTCCAGCTCTCAATAAAAGTAACCAACTATACAACCCTGAAATAATAAGAAGCTACATCAAATGTAGAGGTGACCAGTAGGCTGGTCAAAGTGGGAACCAGGGGCAGACTAGATAAGCAAGGCCCTGAACTTGGCTAAGTCGGGTGGGCTCGGGTTAATCCGGATGACTGGCCACTTTTAGTAAACATGATTGACTAATTTTTTGAAATGAAATCGCAACAGGCTTCATACAGCCATTCTGTAAACATATGAAAATACCTAATAGCCAGTCATGATTCATGACCTCTGATAGTTCCTTTTACCTCATATGTAACTGCCCATTTACCAGTCCGTAGTGGGGTGTGATAGTAATTAATTTTTCCAACATAAAGGCTCTTCCCACTGTTAACTCGTCGTGCTTCCTCAATCACAGCGTCTACCCTTACAAAGGTATCATCATCGCATTTCATGATATATTTTGTTGACAAGAAATTTACCTGCAAAGAAAATAAAAAAGTAAACTGTCAATATGTTTTGGCAACTTTCAATCAAATGATTAACAAACAATATACATGTTCTTACCCCGTATTCACAAATAGCTAAAGTCTTCAAAACAACAAGATCATAATTGTCTAGGTATGGAACAATGATGATGTCGCCAAAAAACTCAGCTTCTTTCCTCAACTCCACATTTATAGTATCTCTTTCATGCTGCCAATAGTTTGATGTCAAGGATCACTCTCTTGGAATATAAGGATCAAACATAAAACACGGTTATCAATTGCCTCTTACCAGTGCTACGAAGAAGCGAGCTACAACAATTGAAGATTTAACCAAGTAATGTTGCATCCAGGATTTACGGACCGCCATACGTTCAGCAAAATGGTCTCCAGCTGAAATTACACCAATAAAAAGATCAACGGGTTCATAAGGAAGTGGTCGAGCCTTCCACTCAGAAGACATCTCAAGGTGCCTCTCAGGAGCGACACTAGGATGTGAAGTGGGCAAAGAAGCAGCAAATGCAGAATGTACATCAACATCCCCATACACGCGTAGTATCATGGCATCTTCTAAGTCAAAACCCTGTAAATGCAAGCACAATTCAGTAAGTTATTGTGTGTAATGCACTGGAAAGAAAATGGGGAAATTGATAATTGTAAAAATGCTAACCAACTTTTTTTTTAAAAAAAATTGCAAGCAACATGGAGAGGTCTTTAGTAGGGATATAAAATAACATGTTTACTTCTGTAAGTTTACAAAAAGATCAATAACAATTTTCATACCAAAAGAAATCGAAATTCATACGAAGCTAAAATGATCATTTTTCTTCTAATTTCTGTGAGCAATCGAGCATCTCTACCAAAATGTTTCGGAAACAGGTAAACATGCAAAGAGAGGTAATTATATCAATTTTGGCACTGGAAGCTATTTTAACATAATGCTTACATTCCGATAAGCAAATGAGGTTAGATGCCGCCCATTAACGCTAATATGATAACCTTCCAAGCCCGCAGTGATGGTAAGAACAAAGAACTTCTCTTCTAAGAAAGGAAAAGGCCAGTCCAAATCGATCTTTTTCCTCCGCCCCATCAACCTGTCCAACCACAAACTAGCCTTTGACTCTTCGAAATCATTAGCATCATCACGGATCCATTTCTCACATTTTACCTGTCCATCGACTGCAAAAAATATCCAACAATCAGCCAAGTGAAGAACAAACACACAGAATTAAAGGAAATTAGGTCTCTACTAAGTGCTAAGGACTGCTAACAAATGAATAGCGAACTAACATCATATATATGCAAACAATCCCCACCAAAACTCTAACACAGATCATCAATGTAACACCTGATTTACCGTACCTTTATGGATGCATATAAGAAGACTCCATTTTCAATAGGTGTTCAACTTATTGAAAAATAATCTAAAATTTCCAGTACAGCACTTCTAATCTGTACTGTTATCAGCACAAACCCAACAAATCCAATGTATGGGATGATTTTTTTTTTTTTTAAGGGTTTTGAGAAGTATGGCCAAATGGGCAATATTACACTAATACAATTAGTCAATTAGTATCCATTTATCCAAAAAAAAAAAAAAAAAAAACATTAGTATCTCATTCATGCAGAAACAAACTCTTATATAAAAGTTCTATCATATAGATGGAACCAAACAGCCGTAACAGGACAACTCTGCTCTAATAGCTTGTTAATGGAATCATTGATTTAAAAGCATAGCTTAGTTGTTAATTCCGATCAATGGTTTTATCCATCTAAAATACTACTCTGATATTCTTAGCCTTCCTTCCACATCAACAACCAAGACTTCTATTTCATATCTTCCATGCAGGCATGTATCTTGCCTCTAGTCTCTATCATTAGCTTGCTTCAGCTAAAATTAGTGAATAGAGTTTGTATGATTATTAAGAAAGTACTTTTAAAATCATATTAATTACCATGCTTTCAAACGAAATTAGAATACAAAGTTTGATCTCCAGAAACCACGTGTATTATACAATAATCTTTTTAGACCTTCGAAAAAATCTCATACTGTAATTCAAATTGACCTACTGTTTTAAAATAGTAACCCCAATTTATTTTTAGTACAACCAGAATTAAAATTAAAACTTTCCCACATTACCCTAGCAAGAGCTCAAACAGGACTTATTTGCATAAAGATTTAGACAATTAAATAATCCATAGAATGATACGGAGCAGTAAAAATGTATCCCAAGAAGGGCATTACAATCTACAATCCTAGTAAGAGATGATTCCCATGTTTAACAAAACAACCATTTAGACCTTGTTCACATCAACCATATATGAGATCAACTTGAATTTTCTCATTTTTATCCAACTGAAATTAAATTACAATTTAACATGTCGACGGAAAGACCACTCACTTTTACTCTCTTAATTTAGTGCAAACGAAACTAAAACAATTATAGATTAAGTTTCCTTTTCTAAACTCACACTAATCCCTAATGAAGTCATCGAGTCTTTTGATCGGAGACATTTCACTTGTAATTTCATCCACTCTTGGTAAATGCTAACATTGATTTCACTAGACAATAAAAAAAAAAAAACATTAATAAGAAAACATTACATATATATCTTGGAAAAATAGAATAATTAGTTTTACCCTTTGGCACCTTTCTTTCAAGTTTCAACAATAACAAGTTATATGTATGATCTATATGACACGGGGTGACAATGTTTCTTTCAGAACAGTGCACCAAAAAAAAACAATGTTTCTTTTAGAACAGAACAAACCAAAGTAGCGCAATCATAATTAAACCCCTGAACTTTTGAATATCTATGCTGCATTCCTAGCAGCAAGTTATAGATACTATTAATAAGCTATCACTAACAGAATTATATAAATTAATTACTCGATTACGTACTAATATTCTTTAATTGTTGGACCCGTAATAAATAAAGAAAAAGCACAACAAAATTCTCACTCAACTATTTATTTTGAGTACGGTACAATGTCTATGTATATTGTTAAGAATAGCAATTTCCTAAATTCCACGGGTATCGTAATATTTAATTTTGAATCACACTAGTGTCACCATTATTCACAAATCTCGGCAATTACCCTATCAGCTCTACACTCACAAATCTCATAATAAAACTATATTCCGAGTGCCCGAGTGTAACACATAAGACGAAGAGTTTATACAGTTGTAGTTGTAACAAACAAAATGTCAATATCAAACTATAACTTTAGATTATAGTAGCGGGGAGGTGTTAAAAAAAAAAATGGATTTGATGCTATCAAGTCAAGTCTAATTTCAAACTTAAATTATGTTAAATTACTGTATTTACTCCCTTCGTATTTTTTAAGTGTTACAATTACCAAATTTTAACATGTTTTAATAAGTACTTGTATTACACTTCCTGATTAGGGGATTTTGCTCCCACCAATCGGAATGCGCCACGTGGGCCAATCAGGTCCTGCCAAGTGTCCCCCAGTTGGACCTCTCAGGGCTTGCCACGTGGCACACGCTTATTCGTCCACCCTTGACTTATTATGTCATGACACGTGGCATACTCCATGCCTAATGGAGAAGCCGGTCGCCTAGGCCCAACTTCCGAGGGAAGCCCAATCAGCCCAAGGTTAACCTAAACCTAGATTGGCACGTTTCCCGAGGTTATAAATACCTCCCTTAATCCTCATTAAGGGAGATTACGCAAAAAACGCAGATTACACACATTAAACACTCTCACCTAGAGAGACCCAATCACTTTAATTTCCGCATTAATTACTCCTTAATCAAGTACTAACTTGACCGTCGGAGGCGGATCTCCGATCATCCGGAGCATCCGTTTGTTTTGCAGGTACAGGCGTCCGGTTCCAGTCTCGGAATTGTAACTCTCCCGCAGGACATCAGAAAACCCCGAAACATTTTTGGCGCCGTCTGTGGGGAGAGTACTTCTGAGATGGCATCCACGTCTGTACCGACTCCTGAAGAGAGGCGTCCCCTAGACGACCCTCAAGTTCAGTCGGACCACGATACTGAGAATGAATTTGAAGTTGAAGCTCACACAGCTTCAGACGGGACCCTAAGGGCCCGACGTACCCGTCATACCGAAAGGAGGGAACGGGAACATCTTCAAACTGGAAGCGAGCCAGCAGGCGCACCGCCTGTTCGACAGCAGCCGACTGATGGGTCTGCTCCCATCACAAGGAACGAACTCATGACCTTCATGAGGGACTTCAAAGGAGAAATTCAAGAGTTGATCAACAAGAAGCCGCCTGCTCTGGACAAGGAGCAGTCGGCTAAGAAACCCTCCACTTCACGGAAGAGGAAGCCAGTTCAAGGGCGAGAGGCGACCCCTCATCCTAAATCTAGGAAGTGGGAGCCACCTGCCCTTGATTTCACAAAATACCGTTTTCCTACTCCAGGAAATAGGAAACTTGTTCGTCATATTCAGGCGGACGGGTCGAGGAAAACATACACAGACGCTCGGCTACTATTAGAGCAGAAGAAGAGTGACCGATTGTCAGAGTCGGCCTCTACTTCAAACTTCCAAGACAGTCTGCGAAATACCTCGATGAGGCATACTCAGTCGTATCATGAGGGTCAGTCAGGCGGCACCTCCCGTCAGTCCGGCTTTCATAGCGACCAGGCGGTACCAAACTTACCGTTTGTACCGCAACAATAGTATTTTTTACAGCCACCTCCGTTTGGTGGACATGCAGCAAAAAATGTCCAACCTATGGACTGGCAGCTACGGTTGCTTAGACTTGGTGAACAGCCGTCGGCCTTCTCCAAGGAAATTACTGAAGCCGCTCAGCCGGCCAAAGTGAAAAATGTATTAGTAGGCACCTATGACGGCACTACTAACCCAGAAGACCATCTGATGGCATTCACCAACCTGATGTACCTTCAAGGGTTGGATGATCCCACTTGGTGCAAGTGTTTCCCAGCGACTCTCAAAGGAATCGCACAACAATGGTTCGGCAACCTGCCGACTGGTTGTGTAAATAACTTCAAGACGCTTGCTTACTTATTCACCTCCAACTTCGCCATGAACATCCCTGCGAAGAAGACGACCCTTGATTTAGGAACAATTCAGCAGGGCGAGAAGGAGGGGCTTCGTTCTTACATCAGGCGATTTAACCTGATGAGAATACAGATTCAAGGGTTACCGGATGAAGTAGCCTATACTGACTTTTTCAGAGGTCTCAAAGACGGGTCGACCTTCAAATTTGATTTGGTCCGAAAGAGGGTGGCGACTCTTCAAGAGGCCTTTATTGAAGCGGAAGCCTATATACAGGCGACTGATCTTTGTAGTACGGTAAAACAGTCAGACGGGAAAAGGTCCGACAAAAGAGAAGGACGACAGAAGCAGTCGTCAAACAAAGACGAGAAGAGAAAAGAGGTCTGGGCAACTGATTCCTCTAAACAGCCGTCCCAGAAGAAGAAAAAAGAATTCAAACCATACTCCCCAAAGTATGTGTTTAACAAGGATAGCCAATTTATCCTAAAGGAAATCAAGGGACGGATCTCAATTGAGAAGCCGGTCCCCATGAAGGGTTCTGCAAACAATCGGAACCAAGAAAAATTCTGTGATTATCATGAAGATGTTGGTCATCACACCAATGAATGCATCACTCTCATGCGGTATCTGGACCGCCTGGCTGAGCAAGGTGACCTTGACACTTATGTCAAGAAATCTACGGGGAACACTTCCTCGAAAAAGTAGTCGACCAAAAAGAATCAACAGGCCGACAGCTCCGATACAGATGATGCAGTCGTCTACACCATTGCAGGCGGCTTCTCAAGAGGCGGCCCCACTATTAGGGGCAACAAAGACAATATCAGACGGTTAGATGTAAATTCCGTTCACCAGGAACGACCTTCCAAATATTCATTTCCTGAGATTGTCATCACTGAAGAAGATCTAGGAGGGGTAAGAGGGCCGCATGACGACCCTATCGTTATTGAATGTAAAGTGGCCAACCAGAGAGTTGGCCGAATCCTCATAGATACCGGAAGCTCCTCAGATCTCATCAGTAGCAAATGTCTGTCGAAACTAAAATATCAGACTGATTGCATATATCCGGCATCCCACCCTTTAGTAGGGTTTGGAGGAGGAGTCGTCCACCCAGTGGAACGAGTGGATTTACCCATCCGCCTGGGCGAAAAAGGGGAAGGACGACACATGGT